GACAAGGGGCAGGCTTGTTTTCTAATTACTGAGTTCAGCTGGTGTCTTGGCTTTCCATGCCTTTTTCTTTTTACACCTCCCTTTCTTCATGTGTTCAATACTTTTTCCCTGTGCCATTCCACATTATTACAAATAACTTCATTTCTGGACATTTATGGTTTGATTTCTTTGTATGTATGGATCACTTGGGTTATTACCAACATCTGGTGAAAATTTCCTGTCATTAGCACCTCTAGTCTAGTCTATTGCTTCTGCTTTCCATGCATTCAGATGTTTAGATCAACTTGTGTAGAGAAATGATATAACATTATAAATGATGTTGTGATTGAATGCAATATAATAACATCTTGAACAATCTGTTAGCACTTACCGTATGTGTTATGAATGTCTCTCAGTTACAGCTATCACAAAACATTTGTTCGATATCTGTAAAGTTGAGTGGAGGGCTGTTGCTTGGTGGTCTGTGTCGTGGTCTTGTAATCCTGAGGCTGTAGGTTTGGGCCAGGTTGCATCAGAAAGGGCATCCAGTGTAAAATCATTCATTCAATCATTGTGTTGGTTAAAGTTGGTTAGCCGCGGTGACCACTTCGCACTGAGTTAACTCCAGATCTTATTTATTTGTAGTTATTTATCTACATCTACTAGCTACTTTTTAGATTTAAGTTCACCATGTGCTTTTTGAGATGTATTCCTGATGAACAAGGTTGACCCCAAAGCACAAAGCTGTTGCACAATGTATTGTGCACTAAGTACGTATTGGGCAGGTGACGCAGAGGGTAACCCCCTCGCATCAGTTATTGACAAGATGAGAACAGGGTCTGTTGTCATATTTTTTTTAAAAGTGTAGAAATTGCACGGCAACTAACCGTCCTAAAACCTAAAATTAACTTCTATTATCCCTAGACATCCTATTCCTGACCTGATTAACCAGTAACCCTTATCCCTAATATTAACCATGGACCCAGAACCAGAAAAGCCCCATATGCGTTAAAACAGTGGGGTGCGAAAGTTTGGGCAGCCTTGTTAATTTTCCTGATTTACCTTTATGAATCATTGATTGTTTGGATTTAAAAAATCAGAAAAATAAATCATATAGGGGACAAACACAGTGATATTTGAGAAGTGAAATGAAAGGCAGGTGAATAAATTTGGGCACCATAAAAAAACCTTAACTCAATATTTAGTTGCTCCTACTTTCACAGAAATAACAGCCTCTAAACACTTCCTACAGCTTCTAATGAGAGTCTGGATTGTGTCTGAAGGTATTTTAGACCATTCTTCTTTACAAAACATCTCTAGTTCATTCAGGTTTGATGGTTTCTGAGCATGGACAGCTCTCTTTAAGTGACACCACAGATTTTCAATAGCATCACTCTCCCATACTGCATCTCCTTGTGTAAAGTGTGCTGAATAGTTGAAC